CCTCGGCGCTGCACTCAGCCAGGGACCTCCCCCGGGAGAGGCGGCACGCCCAATATCACGCCAGCCGAGCGCTCTGGCCAGGGCGCGGTGCCTGGAGCCAGCTCGGGAAACGGTGTGTGCTGCAGCAGGGCGTTTGATCAGCGTCGCCTGCTGCTGTTTCGTGCATCCTGCCTCGGGCATCCCCTCAGTAACGCTGCCAGTCGCGCCCTCGGCTTTCTGAGCGGGAGCATCGACTCGAGTCCCACGAAGGTCCTCTGCGCGCAGGTGGTCCGACGATGCCTTCGTTTCCTCTTCCAGGACCGTCTTCCCTTCGGGGCCCGGGAGCGGTCAGGGCGTCAAAGACGGCCTCCATAGCGGCTTGAAATAGCAGAGGAAAGTTCAATCTATCTTCCGACATACCTCCAACAGGCTTCTGAGGCCTCAGGATGGCCTGTTTGCAATGGGTCTGAGCATTGGAAAGTGTTCCTGGATAGACCTCTGGTTGAGAAGGTGACCTACTACGACTTGGGCACGGACACAACGAGCGACACCACATGCAAGAAGTTCGCTGGCAGTGGTCATTTAATCATTGACGAGAGTTGGCAACGCGTTGTTCGATATGTGAAGTCTGACCGTTCTCTTGCTTTCGCCTCGCACCAGTTTCTCGTTCAGGCAGCTCTTGACGTGGACATCCCCAAATCGGTGCCGACCAGCCGCCGTCCGAGATTGGACCCTGCGTCTTTGGAGCGGCCGTCGGTGGCAGAACAATATGTTGGCTCAGATGCCGAGGCGGCAGCAGCGGGGCCCGCCCTACCAGACGTCGATGATCATGTGCAGCACGTTGTTCGATGTCTGGAATCAGCGGCCGGACAGTGTCTAGTATCTGGTGCTTGCATTTGTTTTTTTTGACCTGCTGATCCAATGCTGGCGGCAGAAACAGATGCCGTGGGCGTGGCGGCATAGCTGGGTCAGCGCAATTTGCAAGAAAGGGGACGAGTCTTTGCCAGCCAACTATCGCCCCATCTCTCCACTGGCGGTGAGCTACAAGATCCTGGCAGCGCTTCTGCTCACCAGAATCTCAAGTGGTGGCGCCGAGGAACGCCTTCGGCCGAGCCAGTTTGGGTTTCGAAAGAAGCGGAGCGCCAGGGATGCCGTCTTCATTCTGCACAGGTACATCGAGCAAACCTGGGCCGGAAACATCAACACACTTTATGCCGTTTTGCTAGATTGGTCCAAAACGTTCGACAAGGTGGACCCCTTTCCGCGCTGCTGGTAGCCCTTGACCGGTCTGGCTTAACCGACCCGTACGTCAATACGATCACTGCCAATATACGACGGTCGCACGTTCGAGGTGAAGGACGAGCATGGCTGCAGCAACCGGCACGCGCAGTCCTACGGCATTGTGCAGGGGTGCCCCTTGAGCCCGTATTCGATCATCATTATGTTGAGCGTGCTGATGGGGGATGTCGAGCAAGACGTCACCACGTTGTTCGGACGCTCGCGCGCGGATGCTTTCAGCGCAGACGTGGCGTACGCTAACGAGACGGCGCTGGTGTCGAACGATATCGCAAGGTTGCAATTTGTCTTGGACAGGCTGATCTTGAGGGCTCGCATGTACGGGCCAGAGCCGACTTTGGACAAGACCGTGCACTTGCGCATCCAGCACAACGTGGACATCCACACGGCGCAGGGCATGCCGCTCAAGACGGTCACCTCGACGGTTTACCTGGGTAGCCTCCTCCAGTCCGACGGGAATACCGGGGCTTCAAATGCACGGCGTGTAAGTGAAGCACGCGCGTCTTTCGATGCACTGCAAGCTGTTTTGACGCATGCCAACATAAGTACGGCAACGAAGTTCCGCTCAGTTCGTGCGTGCGTTGAGTGAAAACTCATGTACGTCCTCGAAACGCTCTGTCTGCACGCGGCCGACCGAGTCAATATCGACGCTTTTCAGGCGCAGTGCTCAACATTGAACATCCTATGCTACCGCATGTTAGCAACGCGGAGGTACGGTGCAGAGGCAACCAGCAATGCTTAGGCAACTGTTATACTATGGACAGCTGTCTGCCCTGCCCAACGAATCCCTCCATCGCCTGAGTGTTTGCCCTAGCCGGAATTCTCGTTTCCTCGACCCCGGGAGACGCAGCAAAAGGCGTCCCAGATTACAGTGGGGTTCGATCATGCGCGCGCACGCGCTGACAATAGCGACGTGCATGCACGGCGGGGCCTTGAGCCAGCAAGAGGCCATCCGACAAACGATCGGGTAGAGTACGTCTGATCAACGCGTATGGAAAGAAGCAGTGTTGAGGTACTGCTTGAATTGACGTTAAGCTGGCCTGGCGTCATATTGTATGATTTTTCCCAGCCGTCCTGTGGTGTTGGGTCCTCATTTTGAAGAGACAGTCCCTGCGTTCACTCCTACTCCTCACGCTGCCCCGTCCTCCTCTGTTGCTCCCTCCTTCCATCCTTGCCCCTGCTCTCCGCATGTCTGTGTCTCGGCGCACACAGTGCAACACTTCGTGGCCCCAAAGGGAGCTCCACCGAAGGCCCCAGCGGCAGGGCCCACATGGCGGTGCCGCCCAATGTTGGTACACCAGTCGCACGGTTCGTTGCCGCCTACGGAGCTCCACCGAAGGCCCCAGCAGCAGGGTCAACATGGCGGCGCCGCACCAGTTTGGCGCACCCCGCACACGGCTCTTGCCCCATAGGGGGCTCGACCGAAGGACCCAGCGGCAGGGTCAACGTGGCGGCGCCGCCCCATTTTGGTGCAGGCCCCATGGGGAGCTCCACCGGAGGGCCCCGCGGCAGGGTCCACATGGCGTCGGCGCCCCATGGTGGCGCACCCCTCACACGGTTCGCGGCCCCCATATGGGAGCTCCACAAAAGGCCCCAGTGGCGGAGTTTGCACGGCGGCGCCGCCCCATTCTGGCGCAATCTTCACGCGGGTCGCGGCCCCAGAGGGAGCTCCAGTGAAAGCGGCGCCACAACGCGGCATTCGCAACTGCACATGGTTGGGTCCTTCGCTAGGATATTTGGCACATGCTTTAGGACATGGAATTTATAGTTCTGAAATGCGCCCCGGACTCCCCCGCCCGCCTGCCCTCCAGGTGGTGGCGTCGTCTCCTCTTCCGCCGTCCTGCGTCGCGTCTCTGCCTGCTCCCTCTCTGTCTCCTGATCGTCCTTCGGGCGGTCGCCCGGGTTTCGCCCTCCTTTCGTCCCTCCGGCGTCGTTCCCTGTCGCTCGCTCTCTTCCCTACCCCAAGCCCCCGGCTCGTCCTGGTCCCCGTGTGTCGTTCCCTCCTCTGCCTCCTGCTGCCGCTGCTCTCCCGGGTCGTCCACCGCCTGGGTTTTTTTGGCGGGGTCGGGCATGTTTGCGCAGATGTTTAAAGAATGGAGCCAGAGCCGGCGACGAGAGGTTGCGCCTTGCTCCTCGCCTTGTCGACGCTGGCGTGCTGCTCTACATACACTCATGCATGCGATCTGCAACCAATGTGCCGTCTAGGCACGGTTCACTTGACTTGACTCGTCTGCTACAGTGGCCTGTGAAGACCAGCAAAGGGACGAGGGCGAGGACGCCATGCAAGCCGCGCCATGTGGATCCAAAGCCCGCGTGGGCAGCATTTCCGGGCCTGCGGCTTCGGCGGAGCCTTCAAGATGCGTTGCAGCTCGACCAGCTCGCCCTTGCTGAGGACTCCTGGCGAAGGGATCAGCTGGGCCAGGCAGGCGACGACAGGAACAGTGGAGCCACTGTTCAGCGTGACCAACTCGGTGGTCGGGACCAGCACGGTCTCGAGTACGGAAGGCGCTGCTTGTAATTCGTGGCTGCCGCATGCGAGAAGTCCATGTGGATCAACCCCAGCCGAAAGAAAAATAATATTAAGCCGAGGATCTAGCTTTGGACGCAACTGCGAGTCCGCCCAGCTTGGCGCGGGCGCCTGGAGCGCCGAGGGGATGGACTCGGTGGCACCTGGGATGGCAGCAGCGGCTCACCACAGTCGCATCAGGATGTACTTCCGCGACTGCAGGTGGAAGCATGTAAGGCGCCCCATGGCCTGGAAATGAGTCTCGATGAAGGTGTAGGAGGAAGGAGAAGGAGAAGGAAGAGACGGATGAGAGGAGGAGGATGAGGAGGAGAGGAGGTGAAAGGAATCGAAGGGAAAAGGAAAGAGGCGCGGCCGAGTGTGACCTCGGCGGGCTAAAGGCGCCGAACTCATGCGAGAGGGCCTCATGCCGCGGCCAAAGGCAATGACGAAGTGGAAGCAGAAGGAGACGCCGAAGGCGAGCAGGACCAAAACAGGCTCCGTAGCGTGAGCGAGCGAGGGCAGCGCAAGACGGCAAGCCTATGCGCTCCCACTCCCGCCAGGTGCGACAGCGTCGAGGACGGCCACGGCCAAGGCGCACTTCTCGGGGGCGTCCAGGAGAGGAGCGTCCAAGAGGGGGGTCGCGAATCACGGCCCGAAGCACGTGCGCAGCCCAGGGGGCGCCGAGGGGCGCATGAAAGGAAGAAGGGGCCGTGAAATCCGTGGAGATGCCCTGGCCCCGCCCATGACCGCCCCCCCCCAATCCTCACCCTACTTACTCTTCGACGCCTGCTGGTTGTCGGGCCATAATCAGCTCGGGCCCCCGGCGGCCGTTCGGGACGATCCGGGCACCCCGGGAAAGCCCTCGGCGAGGCGCAGTTGCTGGAAAGCACCCCGAGGCCAGACAACCGCCGGGAACCCCCACGAAAGCCGAGCCGAGAAATCCAAGAGAAAGCCGACGAGAACCCCGTCTTCTTGGCCGCCCCCGAATTGGCGGCGCGCACAAGGGGGTAGGGCTTCGTAGAAGGAGGCTGGTGCTTTAGAAGGCGGCGGCCCTACACCTGTAGATGAGGCCCGCGCCTCCTTAGAAACAGGGGCGCTTCTAAGAAGCCCTCCCCCCATACCCCCATACCCCCCCTATCCCCCCCCTCGGCGCGTGGCTGGCCGCACTTCATCGGGGCGCCGAGCCCGGCGCGCCCGGCGCGCCCGGCGCGCGCGCGGCGTCGAGTTCCGCGGGCGCCGCTTCTGGTGGAGCTCCTGGGGGCCTGCCGGGCAGCGCGGCCGGGGCGGCCGCGTGCGGGCCGCCCCCCGCGGAGCCGCGCGCGGCGGGCAGCCGGCGGAACAGGCCCTGCAGAGGCCCGCCAGGCCTCATGAGGACGAGGGCGAGGACGAGGACGAGGACGAGGACGAGGAAGACGGCGGCGGCGGCGGCGGCGGCGGCGACGACGACGACGACGACGACGACGACGACGGGCCTCACCGGCTGCGCGCAGGAGCGGCCCTGGACAAGAGTTGCCTCTGGTGCGCGGCTTGCCGATCGTGGCACGCGGTGCGGCAGCACAGCGGCCTGCGAGCTTGGGTTTAATTAGCCCCCCGCGCCCCTCGAATACGCCGCGCACGAGAGGTCGCTCGGGCGCAGGGACACTCCCATGTTTAGGTCGGGCCTGTCCCCCTGCAGGGGGATTGTGGGCGAAGAATGATAAATACCCCAAAAGTGCCCCCCAAGTGCTGAAGAATTGTGAAACAACAAATCGTCCCCTGATTATTTCTGGACTTTTTTGAATTTTCCCCCTGTGGAGGGACAGGCCCGGCTTCATCTCACGCACAGCTGACCTCATGACGAAGCTCTGCCGCAGGTTGGCCAGCCGGCGGCGGAAGTCTGCCTCCAGCTCCTCGCGCACCTCGAGCACCTCTTCCCCCCTTCCTTACGCTGGAAAGTCTGGAACATCTGATGTAGGTCGCACTTTTTTCAGCACGAGACCTGAGATCTCCACGACAAGGCTATGCTGACCCGATTGCGTTAGCAATGCCCATCGAGTGGACCGTTTAAACTCGGCCTGCTGGAGCTCCACTCGGCGGAACAGCATGTGCGAATGGAGCTGGGTCTTTGGGCACCTCTCCCCCCCTTCCCTGCGACCCTGGCGCCTCAATCTGTGTCGAGCCAGGCAACTTCGCCTTGCTTCGGGCCCCGCATTCGGGCCCCAGGACCATCACAGATCGATCCGGCTCGGAGAATGGCGCAGACGATGACGATCACGATGACGTCATCGTCATCGTCATCGTCGATGGGGTCCGGGGCTCTGGTCATGAATTTTGTCCGACGTCTGAAGCTTTGCGCGCCGTCGGATCTCAGGCTTTCGTCCGACCCGACCGGTGCAGCTCTTCCCTCACGGGCTTGTGGCGGGACCTGTCGGCGAGTCGGGAAGCTCGGATCGAGTCGGGCCGCATCGGCACGGAGTCGAGACCGAACCGGATCGGCTGCGCCAGGATGCGCAACAGCGGCGTGCAAGCGCGGGGCCGCATCGGATCCGTTGAACATCGGAAAGATGCCGACCGAGCCGGCCGAAGCCCACACCGGATCGGACCGATCGGACCCCGGCACCTCGCGATCATCCAGGTCCACGCCCACCACGCGCAGGGGCGGGTCGGGCACGAGGCCGTAGTACCCCGGGCGCGGCGGGAACTCTCGGCCGTCCATGCAGAAGTACACCTATCTCGGGGGTGCTGCAAACGGCGTCCCTGGCCCAAAGTGTCCCGTCAAATCCCCAGGGAGGCGCAGATGCTAGTCGGAGCACGCGTCACGAGACAAAGCTCGAGCCAAACAATGTGTCCCGTTTTCGTGTGGCCTTCATTTTCCCTCGTTCTGTCTTCGTTTCGCCTTTGCTGCAAAACGAGATCAAAAACGAAAGCGGTCCACGAAATCGCCAAAGCACCGTTCAGCTCGCGCTCTGCCACGAGGCCCAGAGGGCCCCGGGGGCTCCAACACGGTGCGAAAAGCTGAGGACACCTTGGGCCAGGACCACTCCTATCGGCTGCGCGCAAGAGTAACGCCAAACAGGAATGGCATTGGTGTGCCGCTGCGAGGCCGAACGGGAGCGCGCAAGCCGCTGTTAATCGCATCGCTCTCAGCCATCTGGGGACCCCACTGTGCCCGCATCCCAGGCCCCCGACGTCATGTTTTTTTGGTTTGCTTTACAACGTCGACAACCAAAGATCTCGACCCACTCCCCAGGACCGGCTTCTCATCCTGAGTTGTTTTTTGACGGTCCCGAGGCCTGGAGATAGTAAGGGCCCCCAGGAGCTGAAAATACAGAAAAACCTCCCGTCGTGATTTTTTGTCATGACCCGCGGGGGGACGGGACCCAATGTCACTCCGGCGACTTCGTACAGCCGATGTCTGGCAACGCGCCCGAGCCTCCGCGCGTGCCGCGGTGTCGTCGTCCGGCTCCGGCCAGACCGCCGCCAGCCGCTTGCCCCACGCAGTGCTGCTGAGCCGCTCCCCGCCGACGCCCCTCGAGGCCAGGGCGTGGACCACCGCCTTCGCGCGGCGGAGCGAGCAGGTCCTCGCGAGGACCACTCCTCCCGTCTTCTCTTCTTCACTCCCCCCGTTGTCTCCCATCCTCCTACTACCGGCCCGCGTCACGGACACCGACCTCCAGAGGCATTCCGTGGTCTCCACGCACTGCCGTTGCAGAGCCATGAACGCAGACTCGCTGGAAGTTGCTGATCTGATGATCATAGTGACGTGAGAACGCAGAGAGAGAGAGAGAGAACAGAAGGGTCCTCGCGATGATCGCGGGGGCCCCAGTGCCAGTGTGGGCGTCCACGTGGAGGCGCAGGCGCGGGTACCTTCTGCAGACAGCCGCTGCTCCGTCCAGCACGTGCATGGTTACGTCCATGAGGTCGGTCCCGCCCCCATAGGGGAAGTACACGTGGTTCTTGGTGGGGCTCACGCAGAGCTTTTGAACCTATGGGCGTCCGAAGAAGGGTAATGGACGAACGAACGACCACCGCCGCCGCGGACAACCTCTAGGCCTAGCTAAAACCAGGTGGGTGAAGCCGTGGCCTCTGTGATAATTTGGCTTGTCTTGACACCCACCGCGAGACAGGGCGGAGGACAGTGCGGCAATGCGGCCAGGCGCAGTGCGGCCAATGACGTCACACGGGCGTCGTCCGTGCCTGCCCCCTGGGAAGGTGTGCCTGGGGCAGGAGCCCTTTAAGGAGAGGAGGCAAGGCCAGGACCCCAGAGGCTTCAGGGAAGTCCCGCAGGACTGAGAGAGGACCACCAAAGCGAGAACGCATGCCCTCAAGAATGCACCTCCGAGTCCCCTGCCCAAGGTTCCCAGAACCTCCCCTCTCCAAGCGCACCCACAATACAGTGTGGAAGTGTTCCGCCTCTGTCGCCAGGGGCTCCAAATATAGCACCCCGCAGGGAGGCCATGGCCTCCGAGAGTACCTGGACACTTACTTGGGGGTTCTTGGGCATCTCTTGGGGGCCTCGTGTAGCCTCTTGGGAACTAGCGTGTGATCCCGACCTTCCCATATGCCTCATCCATCGTGGGGGTCGTCGTCCAGGGTCGGCGGCAGCGGCCGCAAGGCCATAGCAATAGCACGCCGAAGGAGGACTCACTCACACCCACTTCGAGCTCTGTAACTACTCCTTGGCATGGAAAAGCTGGGCGTCGCTTATTATGGGGGCGATAAATGAGGGGGGGGAGAAAGGTGCACAGCTCGGGCCTTAAAGGTCCTCTTTGGGGCCCTACAGGGGCCATCAAGGGGCCCTAAAGGGCTCCTTTTCTGCAGCCCTCGCTGCCCCACCATTGATCGCCCCCCATTACGAGACGCCCAAAGGAGAAAAGCTGGTCCTGGACCCTGGGGCTGTTCACAGGACCGACTTTTCAGCCCGAGTAATTGTTGTTGACAGCGCCGGGGCCCCGGAAGGGCCCCTGAAGGCCGAACTCGGCGAAAGACTACAGAAACCTCCTTAAACCAGACCCCGATGCCGAGATTTCCGCACACCGTGGGCCCCAGGAGATTTTGATTACTTCTCCAAGGCCGGCTTTTCATACTGACTCGTTGTTTTACGGCCCCGGGCCCTGCAATGGCCCCCAAGGGCTGGAAACTGCAAAAAACAGCCCGTCGTGACTCTTTCATGACGCGAAGGGGTCTGGCTCTCAGGACATGATTTCCCCTACGGTGAAAGATGCTGCTCTGCCAGACGCGCCCCTTTTCGGACCGCCAGGGCCTCCAGCGCAAGCGCGAGCAGCTCCAGGGACTGAGCGCCCGCGGCCCAAGCGGCCCCGCGCCCCCGCATCTCCTGCCAGGGCGCCCGAGTGGGGTTGTGAGAGTAGATCCTAACCGTGAGGAGCTTTGCGCTTAACCGTGAGTGATTGAGTGCGCGCTGTGAAATGCACGCTGTGAGTGCACGCACGCTGTGGTGAGCGCGCGCTGTGAGTGCAAGCTGTGAGCCCACGCAGTGGTGAGTACACGCTGTGAGCGCACGCTGTGAGTGCACGCTGTGAGTGCACGCTGTGAGTGCACGCGGCGTCGAGGGCTCGCTGAGCTGATGAGCGCGCTCGCACAGCCTGCGCTCGCAGCATGCGCTCACAGCGTGCACTCACAGCGTGGGCTCACAGCGTGGGCTCATAGCGTGGGCTCACAGCGTTGGCTCACAGCGTTTGCTCACAGCGTGGGCTCACAGCGTGGGCTCGCAGAGTGGGCTCACAGCGCGGGCTCGCAGCGTGGACTCAGATCGTGGGCTCACAGCGTGGGCTCACAGCGTGGGCTCACCACGGCGGGCACGCACAGCAGCGTAAGCCAATCACGCTGTGAGTGCACGCTGTGGGCCCGACGGAATCTCGAATTGCTTACGCGCTGGATTTCTCTGCGCGGTCCGAGAGTGATTTCCTCTGTTGTGTGTGTGTGTGTGCGTGCGTTTGTGTGTGGTGGTGGTGGTGGTGGTGGGAGTGGTGGTGCCGGTAATTGTGGTGGTGGTGGTGGCGTTGGTGGTGGCGTTGGTGGAGGCGGTATCGTTGGCGGTGGTGGTGGTTGTGGTGGTGGGGTGATGGTGTGTGTGTGCGTGTGTGTGTGTGTGTGTGCGTGGTGTGTGTTGTGCGATGTGCGGCGTGCGGTGTGCGGTGTGCGGTGGGCGGTGTGTGGTGTATGGTGTGTGGTGTGTGGTGTGTGATGCGTGCTGGGTGCTGTGTGGTGCGTGGTGGGTGGTCTGTGGTGGGTGGTGGTGGGTGGTTTGTGCGTGTGGTGTGGGAGGTGTGCGGTGTGCGGTGTGGAGTGTGGTGTGTGGTGTGTGGTGTGTGGTGTGTGGCGTGTGGTGTGTTGTGTGTCGTGCGTTGCGTGTGGTGTATTGCAGGTGGTGTGTTGCATGTGGTGTGTTGCGTCTGGTGTGTTGCGTGTGGAGTGTTGCGTGCGGTATGTTGAGTGTCGTGTGTGCGTGTGGTGCGGTCCCTGTCCGCGGCGTACCTTTTCCTGTGCAAGCTCTTCGGCACCGCCTGCACCCCAGACTCCGCCCGCTCCGGCCGCCTGAGGCCCCGCCTTCCTGTGCCCTGTCTCCCTAATCAAAGCTGTGCGTAGCCCGACTAGCTTTTAGTCGAAGAGGTTCGCTCTCGCCCCGCAGACAAAAAAGTGTGTGCGTGTGGTGTGTTGCGTGTGGTGTATGGCATGTGGTGTGTTGCGTGTGGTGTCTTGCGTGAAGTGAGTATGTGTGTGGTGTGTGGTGCGTTGCGTGTGGTGTGTTGCGTGTGGTGTGTTGCGTGTGGTGTGTTGCGCGCGGTATGGTGCGTGTCGTGTGTGTGTGTATGTGTGTGTGGGGCGTGTGGTGTGTTGCGTGTGGTGTGTTGCGTGTGGTGTGTTGCGTGTGGTGCGTTGCGTATGGCGTGTTGCGCGTGTGTTGTGCTACGTGTGCGGTGTGTTGCGTGTGGTGTGTTGCGTGGGCTCACAGCGTGGGCTCACAGCGTGGGCTCACAGCGTAGGCTCACAGCGTGGGCTCACAGCGTGGGCTCACAGCGTGGACTCACAGCGTGGGCTCACGGCGCTCACTCAACACAACGTGCACTCACAGCGTGGGCTCACAGCGTGCACTCAATCACTCACGGTTAAACGAAAAGAAGAAGAAGAGCCATGAATTCCGGGGATGTATCATGGACCTGGCCATGATCCCCCCCAACCATCACCGCCTCTTGGCCGCCCCCGATCCTCCGCCCGGCGCCGCGCGAAGCCGGGGCAGCCCACAGAGGCGCGCAGCTGCCGGCTGGCGGCGCCTGCGGGGGCGACAAGGCACTGATGCCGCTCCTCAGACCTCTCCGGGGGGCGGCCTGGCCAGGGTCTCGGGGGAGACCCCGGCCGTGGCGACGACGAGGGCCCGCCAGGATGAGCAGCGGCATCGCCGGATATGCGATGCCTGACTTTGTTCAAGCCGTGCTCCCTGGAAGTCCCGGGAACCCTTCCCCATCAGCCAGGCTTTCGCCCCAGATCGTTGCTTACGACGGCCTGGAGGCCGAGGGCGGCCAGAAGCCTCTGGCCGTGAGTTCTCCAAGACGCGGGCACGCCTGGATATCCCCTGAGATCTGACGGCGCGAAACAATTGAGACATCGCGGCAAACCAACACTGGAGCCAAAACCCCCATCGTTCGGCTCAATTTTTCGAGCCGGATTGATCCGTGAGGGCCCCAGGGCCCGAATTCGGGTCAAACCGCCCAGTGATAAAGCAATACTGCTTACCTTCTCCTCTCACTCCTGGTGCCAGGTTCAGATGTTAGCCAGCGCTATGATTCACGACAACATTGACTAAGGGAGTCATGCTGATATTGGTGTTCCCGTAGTGGCACGAAGGACTAGAGGCCTCACAGATTGGGTCCTAGTAGATGCGGTCGGAACATCGCGCCGCATCGCCGATGCATCGGTCGGCGATGCATCGGCAATGTCGGCGATACATCGACGCCATCTGCGTGGGAAGTTCTGGCTTCACATCGGCCTCCGACCCCATCTTCTCGGACCCCATCGGGAAGGCCCAGTTGTTCCCGTAGTGACACGAAGGACTGTGGACCCCCCAGCGGCGCTCTTCTCATGGCGCCGCAGCGACGGGCACCCTGTGATACTCCGTGGCCCTCAGGCCGTCCTGCGGCGCACGGCGCCTGCCCACTACGCAGACGCCAGGCGGGAGCCCTCGATGACGATGACGATGACGATGACGATGACGATGACGATGACGATGACGATGACGATGACGTCATCGTCATCGCAAACCTCCGCGCCCTCGCGGATAGCACCTCCTTCCCTGTCCTCTCTGGGCATGAAACTCATGACGGACACTTGTTGTCCAATTTTCGGCCCCTGAGGGCCCTCAAAAAGCCTCGGGACTTTCGCAAAACGACTCGGGATGAGAGAGCCGGTCCCGGGGAAAGTGTCGAATCCTCTGGGGGTCGACGTCATGAACAAATCATAACGTCGGGTTTCTGGGTTGGACGCCGGTGGAGGTGCGAGGAGGGGCCCATGGAACCACAGGGCCGCGACTGCTCCAGCGCCCACCCTGCGGCAGAACTTCGTCGTCGTCGTCGTCGCCACGAACTCAAGGTTTCCTTTTCAATCCCCGAGCGCCCAGCCGGCCCAGAAGCCGCGGCTCGCAGCAGGCCGCCCCGACGGCCTCGACGGCGTCGGGAAGGTCCTGACCAGCCTCGATCAGATCCCAACTCCCTGAGGCTGACAAGCCCATACGGGATGCCAATCCGTGGGGTGCGCCCTCGGAAACTGAAGATGTCCTTGAGATCGGCACCGAGTTCAGGTGGCGAAGATCATAGAGGGAGACAACTATCGTGCTGGGAGGGAGGGACTGGAAGCTACGGGGCGCGACTGCGCATTAAACCCAAACCTCGTCCTTCCGATCCGATTGTCTTTTTTCAGAATCATAACGGTACTCGTGGTTGGATGAACTGGGTGGCAACACTGAATAGGAAATTGTTGGAAGTAGATTGGGCCTCCGCCCGCCACCTACACATAAAGGAAAAGCGGAACACACTCGATGATTGAAACAGAAAAGTGCGTTGAGTAGATTGCAAACGGAAGATCCCAAATAACCCGAACGATGTACCCAACCCTTTCGCAACGGGTGGTCAAATTACCTTGGTGGACCATATAGGGGGGAGAACGTCGCAACGCATATATTTGGGAGGGTCGCGAGCTGTGAGCTGCGCGGCTCGCAGGACACCGATCGATGGACAAAGGCTTGATGGAGTCGAGCCATTATTCTCCTGTCTCGAAGGAAGCGAAGGGCGAAAACTAAGAGTAGAAGGCGGACGAGGATCTTGAACACTCATCGGGGCAGCAGCAAAACGACACGGCAACAGGAAAGAAGGAGGTGACGACGAAAGAACAGAGGACGGGGAGAAATTATGTTTCGAGGCCCGCCGCCAATCACTTACAATCGTGGCAAGATCTGCGCAAGGCCAAGCTGCTCTGCCAAATGCCAGGCCTCTCCCCAGCATTATCCAACGCCGGATGCAAAGGCGCGCAGGCGCGCCGCGAAGTTAGACCTGAGTCTGCGTAGGACGTCGCTACGCTGGACCCCCCAGCAAGCCTACACTGTCGCGGATCACATCCCCCAGGGATGGCGAAGTCGAATCTGAATCTACGTGACGTCACTCCGCTGGTCCCCCCAGCAGCCCTCGAAAGTGGCGACCGTTCCGCAAATCGCAGCGCCCCCCAGGGATGGCGAGGTCGAGTCTGAATCTGCGTAGGGCGTCACTCCGGTGGACCCCCAGAAGTACTCGAAAGCGGCGAAAGTTTCGCAGATCGCAGTACCCCAGGGATGGCGTTGCGTCTGACTCTGCGTGTGACGTTGTTGCTCTGCAGCCCTCGAAAGTAGCGGCCGCTCCGCAGATCGCAGCACCCCAGGCATGACGAGCTCTAGTCTGAATCCGCGTATGGCGTCACTGTGCTGATCCCCCCCCGCTGGCAGCCCTCGAAACTGGCGACCGCTCCGCAGATCGCAGCCCCCCAAGCATGGCGAGCTCTAGCTTGAATCCGCGTATGGCGTCACTGTGCGGACCCCCCCCACCGGCAGCCCGCGAAAGTGGCGACGGCTTCGCAGATCGCAGCCCCCCCCCCTCCAGGGATGGCGAAGTCGAATCAGAGTACGCGTAAGGCGCCACTGTGCTGGCCCCCCCTGGCAGCCCTCGGAAGTGGAAACTGTTTGGCAAATCGCGACCATCCAAGTATGGCGAGACCGAATCCGAATCCGCGTGTGGCGCCACTGTGTCATCCCCCCGCCCCCCCAGCAACCCTCGAAAGTTGCCATGGTTTCGCAGGTCGCAGCCCCCCAGGGATGGCGAGGTCGAATATGCGTCTGGGTGGGGCGACACTGCGCTGTCGTGCCCCACCGGCCCTCGAAAGTGGCGACTGTCTCGTAGACCGCAGCCCTCCAGGGGGAGGTCCAATCCCATACTGGGTACGGCGACAGTGTGCTGCCCCCTCCCAGCAGCGCGCGAAAGTGGCGACAAGTTTGCAGATCGCTGCCCCCCAGGGATGGCGAGGTCTCGTCTGAATCCACGTATGGCGACAGTGTGCTGCCCCCACTAGCAGCCCCCAAACGTGTTGGCAGTTTCGCAGATCGGACCCCCCCAGGGATGATGAGATGTGATATGAGGTTGCGTATGGCGGCAATGTGCTGGTCCCCCCAGGAGCCCTCGAACGTGGCGACATGCTCGCAGATCGCAGCCCCCCGGGATGGCGCAGTTTTCACCACATTTGCACATGGCGACAGTGTGCTGCCCCCCCCAGCAGCCCTCGAACATGGCGACAATTTCGCAGACCGCAGCCCCCCAAGGATGGCGAGGTCTAATCTGAGTCTGGATATGGCGGCACCGTGCTGCCCCCCCCAGCAGCCCTGGAAACCGGCGACAGCTCCGCAAATCGCAGCACCTTAAAAATGGCAATGGGGTTGGCAACGCTGTGCTGCCTCCCCAGCAGCCCTCGAAAATGACGACATGTTTGTAGATCGCAAACCCCCAGGGATGGCGAGGTCGAATCTGGGTCTGGGTACGGCGTCACAGTGTTGCCCCCCCAGCAGCCCTCGAAAGTGTCGACAGTTTCGTAGATCGCACTCGCCCACTGCCAACGAGGACTAATCTGAATCTGGCTGGGGCGGCACTTTGCTGCTCCCCCCATCAGCCCCGAAAGCGGCGACAGCTCCACACATCGCAGTCCCCCAGGGATTGCGAGGTCTAATCTGAATCTGGGCGGTGCGGTACTGTGCCCCCCCCAGCAGCCCTCGAAAGTGGCGACAATTTCGCAGACCGCAGCCCCCCAGGTGGGAGGTCCAATCTAAGAAAAATAGTATTAGAAAATAGTCTGGGGACGATGTGTTGACTATTTTTGGATATGCTCGGGGTATGTTTGCACTGTTTTAAATGTCTCGTCCAAAATCCTCCTGTCGGGGGACAGGCCCGACCTAAGCGTACACGTCGTTCATTTCTAATCGTGCTCATTTCAAATTGTGCTCGTTTCTAACTGTTCCTGGCCCCCTGGTGGCCAGGAAGAGGCCCAGGATAGAACAATTAGAAATGAAAAGATCTTGGCCCCCCAAAAAATCAAAGACCTTTCGAATAATTAAAAATGTACAATTCGGCAACTACAATGGGTGCGGTTTGCAATGCAAAGGGTGCGGTTTGCCTCCCGTCATATCTGCCCCTCCCGCCCGCGGGAAACGGATGGCACTGTCACTCAATGCGACCGAATCACATGACACTGTCGCTCCTTCTGGCACGGTAGAGCACACCTCGAGGATGACAGCGTCGCTCGAAACGACCACAACCATGACCTTGTCTCTCACAGAGGCCCCGGAAAGGCCGCCACAACGCAACTCGCAAACCGCACCCTGGCATGACCGCACCACGTGTGGTCGCCGAACAGGCTGTAGGGATCTGCTCTGGGCCGGCACGGTCCAGGAAGGCCGCGGGCTCCGCTGGGCTCCCCGCCCCGCCCGCGGAGGCGCTCGCCCGCGGCCCCTCGCGACCGGGGCTCCGCGCCCGGGCGCCCTCGCCGAGCTCGGCCGGCGCGGCAGGAGCCCCCGCGCGCGAGGGGCCTGGCGTCGAGGGTGGGGGCCTCCAGTACTATGTTGCTCCCATCGTACTTACGGACCACATCCCAAAAATTCGCCGGCCCAACGGGCCAGAGGCGTGCTAAGATCTCCGGCAACTGGTTAACAATAATCCTATAGTTCGCGCGCGCGGAGCGACCCCTGGGGGCCCCCAGGCGAAAAGTACCCCGGCAAGGAGCCGGGAGAAGCCACCGGAGCACTCCAGGGGAGGGCCATTTTTCGACACCCCTCACGAGGATCGTGGCCTCCGAGGGGGTAGCCGCAATCGACTACCCCCCCTCCCGCCCCAAGAGGCTCCCAACAGCCCCCCAAGAGGCCCTGGGGGCCCCCAAGACGCCGCCAAGGAGCCCCAAGAGATTCCCAAGAGGTCCCCAAGAGGCCTCCAAGAGGCCCTAAAGAGGGCTCCAAGGCCGGCGGAATGAGTGAAGCGATTAAATAATTTCGAGCACCCGGAAAAGTGTCGAAAAAGTGCCGAAGGAATGTCGAAACAGTGTCTCCCAGGGCCCGACACGTGAAAACCCTCGAGTTTCGGTACTTTGCTCGCAAATTCTTTCTGGCGGTCAAGGCTAAAGTGGGCTGGAACATCAAAACTCTAGTATCGGGGGGAACGAAAGGGGTGGATAGCACAGGGTAGGATTAGGTCGGGCATGTCCCCCTGCAGGGGGATCTTGGACGAAAGTACGAAAATAGACAAACAAAAAACTGCCCAAAATGATCCACGGCAGTCAAAAAATCGTACCCAGACTATTTGTTTGACTATGTTTGAATATTCCTCCTGTAGAGGGACAGGCCCGACTTTACTCTAATCGGGGAAAACGAAAGGGGGGAATAGCAAAGGATAGGGTGGAGAATCAGCTCACGCAGTTGATGTTCCCAGCGCCTCCCGGCGCCGGGAGGCGCCCATGTGTCGAGGAATGGGCCCGGCGGCGGGGCCGAAACCAGCTGCATGCAGCAGATTTCGTAGCCCCCCCTTTCCCAATCCCCCCCTTTGCGCACGGCCCGACTCTACGCGGGGTCAGAGTACGGCAAGTTGGGCGTCGCGTAATGGGGGGGGGGGCGATGCATCGGGGGGGGGAGAGAGATGCGCCTTTCGCAACCGGAAGGCCCTCTCCTGGGCCCTCAAGGGCTCCCTCAGGGGCCCTCAAGGGCCCCTTCACTGCGGCCCTCGCTGCCCCCCGATCTTTCGCCCTCCCGTTACGCGACGCCCACATCCAACAAACACGAAGCAAAATGGGGTACACTCTCCGAGTCGACCTCGATCTGATATTTCGGACCGACCGCAGTGTAGGATGACGATTGGACAACTAATATGTCCGAATCTTCGGTGCCCGCTTTGCTTCGGCTCCGTCTGGCCCGTCGGCCGTGCAGGCGCGCGCCCGAGGAGGGCGGATCGAGGGGGGGCGATAGAAAGGCGAAACTCCCGGCCCAGGGCCGACTTTTACAATAATCATCCCGGGCGCCGCCGCGAGAACACGACCCCCAATATCTTCTGAAGCGTCGTCCTGCATGAGCGGGGGTCCGAGGATCGCCGATGCATCGCCGATGCATCGCCGATGCATCGCCGGTACATT